GACTGGGAATCTTGTTAAAGTTGAGGGACGCATGGATTCCAACCAGTATCAGCAGATTCTGGAGACCAATGTCCAGGAATCAGTGACAAAGCTGAAGCTGCGCCGGGGCTGCATCTTCCAACAAGACAACCAGCCTAAACACCTACTAAGGCATTCATGCAGAGGAAAAGGTAGAACGTTCTGGAATGGCCATCTCAGCCCCCAGACCTGAATATTATTGAAAATCTGTGGTGTCACTTAAAGAGAGCTGTCTGTGGTTGGAAACCATCAAACCTGAACGAACTAGAAATGTTTTGTAAAGACGAATGGTCTAAAATACTTTCAGCCACAATCCAGACTCTCATTAGAAGCTATAGGAAGCATTTCAAGGCTGTTATTTCTGTGAAAGGAGGATCTACTAAATATTGATTTAAGTGTTGTTTTGTTTTTTTTGTTTGTTTGTTTGGTGCCCAAATTTATGCACCTGCCTAATTTTGTTTAACCAATTATTGCACACTTTCTGTAAATCATTTATACTTAATTTCACTTCTCAAATATCACTGTTTGTCCCCTATATGACCTATTTGACTGTTTTTTATCCAATCAATGATTTATAAAGGTAAATCAGGAAAATTAACAAGGCTGCCTAAATTTTCACACCCCTCTGTAAAAAACAGATCATGCACATTTCTTACTTTTGTTAAATAATGATCTTGATGTTAAATCTTGGATGYAAACCTCCCAATCAACACATTGTTTCTGTTTCATCATTCTTCTTCACAACCTGACCAAACCCCTCAGCCTTGGTAAACAACCACTTGCTGAACAGTATCCAGTGCGCAGAAGCGATCATGTCAGGAACGCTGTATGAGACCCTAGAGGGCAGCAACATAGAGATCGGCTGTGATGGTGATAGTCTGACAGTCAATGGTGTCAAAATGGTGCTGAAGAAGGACATTGTGACTTCCAATGGTGTCATTCACCTCATAGACGAGGTGCTTCTTCCCAACGCAGGTAAAGCTATCTTGATTTTCTTTATTGTCTCTCAGTTATTTGATTCAAAGTTATTTCTTTGAACCTTATCGTGTTTGTTTGATTCACATCAGCCAAAGACGTCAAGGAACTGATGGGAGATTCTCAGAGCATGTTCAGCGACTTCATTGGTGAAATGGGTTTACTTTCTACTCTGAGTTCGGAGACACAGTACACCCTGCTGGCTCCTCTGAATGCTGCCTTCACACGTGAGTTTAAACTAAATTTTATGAACATAAAGAAAGCATGCAGGTGTGTTTGGACATTTACACGTACTCATTCTGGCACTAACTCTAATAAGGGCTGTCAAATAATTATTTTTTTATGCTGGTAAAGAGAAACTATACCAGCTCCTGTCAATTAAGATCACAAACAAGACAAAAACATGCCTCAACATCAAGCTAAATGACATTATTGAACAGCCAGCACCATTTTATAAAAGATTTAGGTAATTTCATGTAGATTTGAGCCTTTATGTGTAATTATGACCCTGGTGAAAATTCACAACAAATTAAAACTTGTTTGCACATTCTTAATTTTTGTTGTTTGTTCTAAACTTGTAATTTTTTAACTCAGAAAAATGTAAAAAAGAAATTAATGGTTTAAAGTCCCAAATCAAAAGGACATTTCCAGTTCAACACCTTCTTCACCCCATGTTGTTTTGATTCTGTAACATTTTGTGTGATTCTTAGGAGAGGTGATGTCAGACGAGGCTCTGCTGAGACTCACTTTGGAAAACCACATCTTAAAGCTGAAAGTCACTTTGAGTGAGCTTTACAACGGCCAGCTGCTGGAAACGATCTCTGGCAAAATGCTCAGAGTCTTCATCTATCGCAACGTGAGAACTGTTTGTGTAGTTTGTGACACATAAATAGAACAAATACAAATAAAGCTCAAAGACGGCAGCGAGCAGCCGGCTCCGTAGCTGTAAGAGCAAAACAATAATGTCAACAAAGGGCTTAAACCTCAGATTTCTGCTATAAACAAATGCATTAAAGCAGCTAATTAGTCCAGTTCTTGGCAGGGAATGTGTGTGTGTGTGTGTGTGTGTGTGTGTGTGTGTGTGTGTGTGTGTG